TCCATCCTCTAATGTATTATGAGAGAAGAATTCTTCAACTGGTTATCAACTCCACCCTTTTTCTTCCAATAAAAGTGGGTTTTCTCACTGGCCTCTTCCTCAGAGCATAGTTTCTTGATTAACTTAATTTTTTATTTAAAATATTTTTGATCAAAGCATAATATTTGTACATATTTGTGAGGCACTGTGTGATGTTTTGATTCATAGTATATATTGGGTAATGGTCAGATAAAGTAATTAGCATATCTATCACCTAATCTTTGACAAAGTGGCCAAAAGCATACTCTAGAGAAAAGATAGCCTCTTTAACAAATGAGGTTGGGAAAATGGGTTGTCCAGATACAGAAGAATGAATGTAGATCCATATCTCTCACTATATACGAAAATCAAATCAAAATGGGTCAAAGACATAGATATAAAAACAAAAACACTGAATCTACTGGAACATAAAATTGGTAAAACTGTTGAGGACATAGGCATAGGCAAGAAATTTCTGAACAGAACCCCAACTGAACAGGAAGTAATATCAAGGATCAGCAGAAAGGATTACATCAAATTAAAAACTTCTGCACAGCAAAGGAAACAACCAGCAGAATGCAGAAACAACATACAGAATGGGAAAAATTTTTTTACAGATACTCCTCTGACAGAGGACTAATATCTAGAATATATAAAGAACACAAAAAATTAGATGTCCTTAAATAAAAGACCCACTCAAAAAATAGACAAGTGAAATGAATAGACACTTCTCAAATGTTTTAGAATTTCTTTATGATGAGTTCATCCAAAATAGAATAGTAGTTACCAGAAACTGGAGAGGGCAGGAAAGGAGGAGGGGACAAGTATTTCAATGTGTGAAATGTTATAGTTTGATAGGAGGAATAAATTCTATGACACAGCAGGGTGAATAGAATTAACAATCATGCATTACATGTCTCAGATTAGGGTTTCTAAATGGGGAGGCAGCAGTGTACAGAGGTTAAAGATCCAGGCAATGAGGGCAGAGAACTTGATGTCAATCATAGCTATGCTACTTCCTAGCTGTGTGACCTTGACTAAGTTATCTTACAGCTCTGGTTCTTCATTTCTACCAAGAGTATAATAGAACAATAGTAGCAATAAATAAGAGCTAGTATGTATTGGGTACTTTCCATATGCTAAGTGATAAATGAGTACTTTATCCTTATTTATTACTACTAATACTTCATATAGTTGTTATGCAAACTAGGTAAGTACTCAACACAGAGATGGCACATAGTAGGTGCTCAGTAAATGCTACTTAAGTGATATCATTCTCACCTATGAGCATAGAGGCTTGCTTAGCTTCTACTTCTTGGTTTAATATTGCCTTGATACCCAAGACAGCCTCATAGATATCATCCCCAAAGAGATAAGTGAACTTTCCAGTAGAAGACAAAGATGAAGAAGAGGAGGAGGAGGAGGAGGAGGAGGAGGAAGGAGCTCAGCTGTGAATGACGTTCTGTATTTGCTAGGATATAGTCATGTTTTTAACAGGTGCTATTATAATACTAAATAAATGTACCAAAATAAAGTCATCTGGTTTAACATCAATTGTAATCCTTTTCTGCAGTGTCTGCTACCCTTAGGGATCCATATCTTAAAACGCTCGCACACAAAAGCCATAATTTTTCTTGGGTGGAACTTCCGCCATTGCAGCTGTTTTCGAAAGCATGGTTGAATGGCGTTTTCTTTTGCTTCTGAAAGCACCTGCTACTGGCGCATGCCAGGGGGATGACTGAAGGCAGAGGCTCCTCCGCTTTGGAACCTCGTCACACCGCGCACCAGCCTGACCTGACGAGGAGGCCCCCTCGCTCACTAAACTGCTCCTAACCCATCTCATCTCCTATTGTGCCTTACTTCCTTTCCTACGTTGCAGTATTAATGTGATGGATGGCCCAGTTGCCCCACCTGAGGCCCAGGAAGATGGCTCCCCTCCGATTGCTTCCATCAGCAGCCTAAGTGGAGGGTAATAAAAACCCGTACGTGGCTCAGACTTTCAATTTCAATTGGAAATTGAAACGGTGCAATATGATTAAAGTTTAATCTGCATCATCAATAAACATGTGTGCTAAAGCAATGAGGGCTGCTTTGCCTCCTGTTTGCAGGCCTGGATTTGATGAAAGCATGCCTTCTCTCTCTTGTCTAAATGACGTGTTTATTGGGGTTGGGGTTGTGCACACCCGCATATGTGCACGGGCATGTAAAGGGTTGATATAGTTACACAAAAAGATGAAAACTACCACCTACATGTTTGGGAGAGAAAATTTACTCATGCTTAGATGAAACTGTATTGAATTAATCTTACAGGATTTGCTAAGGATACGATGGTTTTTCAAGGATTACTAATATCCATGTATCTATCCATTACTTCATAAAGTATTTATTGAGTGCTTAATGTGTGTCAGATGGATCTTGGGGTCATAACAGGGAGGAGGAAAACAGACATTGTTTCTGCTCTCACAAATCTGACAGTAGTAGTTGAGAAGGATGTCAGTGAAATAACTAGACCCTGAAATGTAAACTCGTCACTTTATTAAGTGTCCACAGTGGACGAAGTGGTATATCACACTGTGAGTGCTGTGAAGGAGGCCATGTGGCCATTCCTGCAGTTAGTGATGCCTGAGAAAAGGTCCAAAGAGTGGCTCATGTGCAGTTAACTAGGCTGGGGAGGGGTCAGGGGACCCCAAGAGTGATCCACTCATAGAAGGTCACATCTGCAAAGGCCAGAAGGCAAGAGGAAGCGAGGTGGGTCTGGAGAAGAGAAAGGAGAATGGCTAGAGCATGGGCAACAAGAGTCTCTGGATGAGGCTGCGGATCTGGGCAAGGAAATCACGCAGGACTTCATATGATGTGGCAAAGGATACAGATTTTTTTTTTCTAAGTGCAGTTGGAGGTTACCAGAGGTCTTTAAACAAGTCAGGCACGCAATCTATAGTATTTAAAAGACTGTTGCATAGAGAAGGAAATGGAAGAGGCAAGAATGGCTGGGCAGAAATCAAAAGGGGGGGCTTTTTTGGTGGACCAAGGAGAGGTGAGAATCACTTGGACAGTGGAGATGGGAAGTAGAGAAACTTCTACAGAGCAGAAATCACAGCCTGTCCTTCAAACACATAACTGACCCATCTCAGCTCCACTCGTGTGACCCTTCCTCAGTACATCTCTATCACCTCTCTGGGCTCTCCCAGCATCAAACTCTCCAAGAAAACATAAGCTGTTCATTATACGTGGCACGCAGCAAATCCGCCTTTCACCTCCAAACTCACCTGCGTCCTTCCCCATCCTTACCTACATCAGCTCTTTCTGGAGGTAGAAGGAAAATCCCACTGCTTTGGCCTCCAGGCCTTTGCAAACATTGTTCCTTCTTCTAAGAACCTTTCCTCCTTCCTCTCACACTGCCTCTTGTACACAGGTCCCAGAGTCTTTCTTTTGGGGATTCTTCTCCGATCCTTTCTCCAGAACTGGCTTAGATACCTGCATCATACCTGGCTTTTGTTGGTTCTTAGTACCCAATGAACTATGAAAACTTTGAGGAGAAGGCCAGGACTTCTTTTCCATCATACCTCCCATTGTCCTGCACAGCACATTTAAGATGAGCTCCATAAATATGTGTTAGACTGAAGAGCTCTGCCCCCATTCTAATGCCCACTCATCACCACATGCTTTGATACCAAGCCTTCTCTTCAGCAGGATCCTGTTCCACCAATTGTCCCTTATCTCTCCTTACACTTTCAATCTCACCGTCTTAACTGTGTCCTCCCTTACAGCTATAAATTCACATTTCTCCATCTTTAAGAGCACTGTCATTCAATCCCGGCTTCTTCCAACTTTCTACTATTCAGTTGAATGACTATAAAATACACTCTGTACTCAGTATTTTTACTTCTTCATCCTTCACTTCCTCTACCATCTGGCTTTCAATGCCATAGTTTCATCAAAATAGCTCTGATGATGCCTGGGGACCCCCAATATAAAATTCAATTGTCACTTTTAAGCTTTTATTTTCCTTTAGTTTTGGGTAATATTTGATGCTGTTGATCACCTGCCTTTGGTTGAAATTCTCCTATCCCTTGATTTATGCAGTAATATTTGCTGGCTCTTCACCTACATCTTTGACTGCAATTCCTCATTTATGACTCTTTAATGAACTTTCTCAGCATTTCATGGCACTTTACAAGTGAATAAATTAAGGACACAATAAGCTACATGATTTTGAATATGTTCTATTCAAAATGAGTCATCTGTTGGAGATGGTTGGAGATGTTCACTAGAGTGTCTTTGAGTAAAATGTTATAATGTCTTGGAATTGCTTTTAAATACTCCAGATGTAGTCAAGTAGTATTTGTATAATTGAAAAGGTAAGTATAATTGAAAAATAAAATAAGTAAAAGTGATATGACTCATCATCATGATTCCATTTGAGAAACACAGAGTTCCTTTGGAGTACTAGCAATAGTTGTCTTTCTACCGTAGAGATCCACATACCTCAGGTGATCTAGGCGAGGATTTAGTCAAGGCCAGGGATCACAGGGTTCTGTCTTATTTATTAAAGGTAAAGGACCATAACATCTGTGTTATAATAGAGGAAACATGGACAAGGAGTCAAGAGACTTGGTGTCTTGTCTTGGCCCCTCTAGGGCTCAGACGCAAGGCCTTGAGTGACTTATTTACTAATGGTGAGGTGAATCTTCCTGTGTATGTAGCATGCTTAGGAAAAGACTCCTCCGAAGGAAATTATAACTACCAAGAAATTTGAAATGTCTTAGAATTTGTAAAAAGACCAGCCTGGTGCCATGTTAAAGACACAGGCTCTCACGTCAGACTGATCTGGGTTTAACCCCCCGCTGTGTGATTTACTTGCTAGGTGAACGTGAACAAGTCACTGGAGACCTCAGAGTATCAGTTTCTATGCAGTCAAGAGAAGAAAACACTCATCTAGCCTGAAAGATCATAGAGAGGATTAAAATATGACATCTGCCACATAGTAGCTGTCCCCAAATTTTTACTTGGGGGTAGTAGACAAATGGGAGGCAGGGGGCCACATGAGTCCTTCAGGAGACCCTCAGGTGGATCCCTCTTCCTAGTACCCATGCATCTCATTCAATCAGGATGATTTGCAGTTAGTGGCAAATCCAGCCCTGGGACCAAAGATCTGAGAATGGTGATAAAAATGCCAGCCAAGATTTGCTACATCTTCTTTTCCACCTCCTTGTCTCCCATTAAAAATGATTTGTTGTTAGGACGAAACATGGAAAAACAAACGTGATTAAAATTTTCCCGTATTAAATAACTGTGTGACAATAGCAATCTTGAGCTGAGCACCCTGGAAAGGCTCCGATTCATCCATCTGGAGGGGGCACCAGCAGCTGGCAGAATCAGGAAGCTGAGCGAGAATCTGGGTTCGTTCCTCTGACACCACATTCACATCCTGGCATTTCTTTTTCCATCTGGTTGATCTCATCCCATTGACTCCATCCAACATGAATGAAAGGTGTTAGGGACATGGGCTGGGCCTCGTCCCAGCATTATGAAGTAGATGGGGGATGTCGAGGGAGGATGTGCTCCACCATCTCATCCTATTCTTCTTCCCCAGAGGAGGAAAATCTCTTATAACTTTCATAAATGTGATAGATCTGTCAAAAATTCATGAAGTCAGTTACATAGGTTATGAAACTCACTTCACAGATTTTATATCTCTGAGAAACCTTTTGCTTTCTTAAGCTCTGTGGCAGATCAATTGCAAAAATATCCACAGTTCTGCAGTCCCCTCTATGCACATCTTTTGCAATGTGATTGGAGCTCTTTGCATCAGGAAGAAGGATTCTTTTCCAAACCTTGATATGGGCTGGTCTTGTTCAGGCTGAAACAATGCAGCAGAAATGAATGGGTGTCAGTTCTAAAGCTAAAGCACAAGAAGTCAAGGCATGGCACCTTTCTACTCCTACTCTCTCTTGGAAATAAGCTTGGGCTGCAATATGAGAAGATGAGAGATACACAGCCAGTTACCACCTGTCATCTTACCACATAGCTGGTAAGTTCTAGACAAGTGAATGAGACCATCTCAGAGCAGAAAGCCTCTAGCTAGCCTCAATAGGACCACAGATTCATGAGCAAGCCCAGCTGAGACCAGCCCATCTTGCAAAGACAGAACTGCCCAGAACCCTGCAGATAAGTAAGCACTAATAAGTGCCTGTTGTTTGAAGTAAGTTACACTTGACGTGGTTTGTTATGCAGTGAAACTAACTGATACAAAGTCCATATGTAGTGTCACCTACCACGGCCACACCTTCTTAGCATATGTTCCACCCCTGCAAATAATTTTAGCAGTTATGTTCCAAAGAGGTTTTTTTTTTCAGCTTTGTAGAATCTGGTAAGATACTTGGTTAATGTGATAAGTCCTCCCTCAGAGCACAGCCTACAGTAAATTCCTCTCAGAGAGACCAGAGTGTTTAGCCCCTCAAAAGCCAAGGAAGGCATAATTCCTTGCCCTAGGAAGCCCCCTGAATATGATACGCAAGGCTTCTATTCTCCTCCTCCAGGCACAAATTGCTGACCTCATCATTTCTCCTTAAAGTAACTGTCAGATGCCGGGTTGGTAAGAAATTTTGGTTCACAGGAGAGAAAACTCAAAAGTAGAAGCAAGTTTGTTCTGTCACACTCACACTTCGCCTGCACTTTTTTTTTTTTTTTTTTTTTTTTTTTTTTTAGCACCGGGGATCAAACTTGGGACCCTGCACTTGCAAGGCAGGTGGCGGAACCAATGAGCTGAATCCCTGGGCCCCCTTCACTATTCATTCACAGGATAGGGAAAACTTCCTAGAGAATGAGCAGGACAAGGACTTGTTGGGCGGTGGTCCTCTAGTCCAAGGTTGCCCATCATCTGCGCCCCCCTTCCTCCTCTCCCTCCTCTTCTCTGTCTTCCCACCATCTCCCCCCATTCTCCTGCTCCTCCCCTCCACCTCCTCCATGTTCTCCCTCCTCTTTTCAGTCCTCATTGCCTTTTCTTTTCCTCTTCTACCTTTTTTTTCCTCATCTTCCTTTCCTCCTCTCCCCATCCTTCTTGCTTGTGCTCCTCCTCCATCCTTCCTTCTCCCCTTTTCAGCTTCATCTCATCCTCTCCTTACCTCCTCCTCCTCCTCCTCCGCCATGTCTTCTTTTTCTTCTGCACCTCCTGTCCTCTCTCCAATTCTTCTCCTGTTCCTCCTCCTCTCTTCTTTTTCCTCTTCCTCCTTGCCTTCTTCATCCCTCCCGGTCTGTTCTCTCTTTTCTTGAGACCATGAGAAAGATTGTACCTCCTCTCTCTTTGAAAGGACCATTTCCCCAATGCCCTTGGCATTTAAAGGAAAATTAGAGTAAAATCCAGAAGAAAAGTTTCTCTGCTAATCTAGACTAGGGTGGACAAAGGACATTGTCCACATGGTCTGTAGAAGTGGAAGGCAGAAGTAGTAGTTTCAGTCCAGGATGCTTGTGTTCTCCTAATAACATGTATGCTTTTGATGATTCCTTTTACACACCTACACCAACCCAAAGATGTTTTCAGGGATTCTACTGAAAGATGAAAGAGGGAATGTGTAGGAAGGTCTTGAACACAAAAGAGAATCACAAGTAGGCTGGTTTACTTTAAAAACTGATCCTGAAGATTTAGGGGAAAATGGCACCAGTGATGTAGAAGATATGGAAATGTAGATAAAATTTCATCTATTAATATTCCTGTAAGGCATATTAGATTACTAGAGTGTCTGAGGGAGGACTCTATTTGGCACAAAAGTATCAACCATAAGCTGATTATGAAATGAGAATTTTAACACATAAGCGAAAATACTTGCAGTCTTTCCCTAAATAAATATCTTTCCTGAAGATAGAAATCTTTCTCCTCAAATCTATGCTCATTCTACAACCTTTAACACGATCAGAGCTCCTATTATAAGGCAATTCTCCATATCCTGGCCCTTGCATAATCCCTCCAACCTCAGTTTCTTATACTTTCCTCCTTGCATTTGACCTTCCAGCCATTGTTACACCATGGCCACACTGGGTTAACGTGTTCCTCCAGAGATTTTTCAGCACATCCTGTCTATCTGGGACATTCTTTCTTTTAACTGACCCTTTAGGTGTTGGCCTTATCCAGGGAACCAATGGATAATCCCTTCCTAGGCATCTTCTGTGTCACTGCTTCCTTTCTCACAGACAGAGGCCTAGATACATTATTTCCTTTACTCATGGAGAGCAGGTACAGATGTTAATTGTCACATGAGAATCACAGCACCATAAGACTTGTGCCATCCCATACCTATAAGATAGTTTCTATGAGTTACAACAAGGGAAAAGCAAAAGTATGCATCCATTCTTTAAATTCAACTTGTTTTAAGTTATAAAAACTTTTGCATGCTTGTTAGTTATTTCTATCATGGCATAGGGGAAGCCTGACCCTTGGTGCCCAAATGAAAATAAAAAGTTGTCATTGGATGTCATTGATGCCCTGGGCAAAAGTAGAAGGTGGGTCAGGCTTCCTGGGAAGAAGCAATGAAGAAGTGACCAGGCTGTGATCAAGAAGCTTGTCCTGAATGAAATATATATATATATATATATATATATATATATATAT